TTTTTTTTTTTTTTTTTTAATTTCTCACTCTAAGTCATACTGCTGCCAGGTAAACAACTGCCCCGCCAGCTCTGTGCTCTGCAGGAGATGAAGGAGAGCAGCGCTGGGCGCCAGGCTGGCAGCACACAGCAGGGCTGACCTCCCTGCTCTGGGGGAAGCCCCCTCCAGCAAAGGTGAGCAGAAGGCAGGAGCAAGGCCCAGCACCCTGCATGCTCTGAGAGCCAGGTGTAAAAGTGACAGTGTGAGAGTGATGGGGACTCAGCTGGCTGAGGCAGGAGCTGTGCCCTGACTCATAGGGGTCCGGGCTGTGCCCGGGGGTGACGTGCAGTGCTCTTGCAGACAGCAGCTGCTCCCATCTGGGGCCAGAAGTGACCCCAGAACCAACCCACACAATTAAATTTTTCAGTCTTTCAGTATTTATAAAAACTAAACCCCAGTCTTCTGAGAACAGCCATGGAACAGCAGCGTTTGTTCCCTGCTCTGCTCGCCTGCACATCCAGTAACAGCGTGCCGTAGTGCCACAGGCAAACAGCCCCCAGCTGGAGCTCTCGGCCGATGGCATGCGAGGTGCTGAAGCGCTGCACCAAGAGGCCTGTTCGCTTCACATGCCCTCGCATTTCTGTAAACATTCCAGGTCGTACTGCTTCGCCATCCCCTACTGCCGGTGGTGAAAGCCCCATGGCCTGGGGAATCCAAAACCTGAGGAGAGGCATGTCTCGTCTCCTCTCAGGGAAAAACCTTCAGCCGAGCCCTGTGTTGTGACTCACAGAAGGCATTTGCAGAGCAAGCAGCCCCTGCGTCGCTCTCCTGAACAGGTCGATGCCACAGGAGCCTCACAGGAAAAGGAAAGAGTCTCTAAGTTCAAGGAGGACTTACCTAAAAGCAAACTACGCCTATAAATAATTATATTCCAACAGCAAAGGTAGAAGAACAAAGGCACATCACCACCTGCCTGTTGTCCAACAGCTTTGTCTCAGCCATCAAAAGCCTGGCAGGGCCCAGCCCTGCTCCCCTGCAGGCCAGCAGGTGGCAAACAAACAGCCCCAGCGCTTCAGGGCTGCGTGCTCATCTGGGGACCTGCGCCACTCCAGTGTCCTGTCTACCCCAAAGGGAACAAGGACAGGGAAATGGGATAACTGATTTCTTGTGGTCTTAAAAATCCAGCAAGGACAGGTCAGAAAGAACAGCAGCAGCTGAAGGGTCAGCAAGATGGGGTGGGTAACAGCTGCAGTAAAACCAGCTTGAACAACAGCCTAGCAGCAGGGAAGTTCAACATCCAGCTTCAGCAGTGGGTCTGCTCCCACGTCTGTGGGGCAGAGGTGTGTGCAAGAGCAGCATGACTCACTCCACGGGTGGGCCAGGCACCCAGCTCCCCACAGCTACGCCCGCTGGCTCCAAGAAAAGCAGTCAGACTGCTTTATTTCATTTACTTCAGACCTGGTACTGCAGGAAGGAACATTCAGCTAAAGTTCAGGATACTTGACTAGTTTGAGCAGGAACAGCCAGATCAAGGTTTACTGGTTTTCCTTCCCGAAGCCAGCTGAAGTGACTGGAACAAGCCGGTCTGTCCCCTGGCACTCGAGGCCCCAGCAGGCAGAGCTGGAGGGAAGGTGTGTCCCGGAGCAGGATCCGAACTAGCAGCACACGCCAGGTAACACAGAACATTTCCCCACCTGAGGAGAACACGCCCCAGCGCTCGCACCACTTCACCGGCCATTACAGATCTCAGCCCAGGGAAAAGGGGTTGTACCTGGTCACCTGAGGGGCTGCAGGACCTCCCCTGGAGCAGCCACCACAGCCAGCCTGCGGGAAGGCACACACCCAGCAGTGACTTTGTTTTGCAGCTGGACTTGTTCTGGGTGCCTGCTTTTGTCTCAAGTTTGAGAGGAAGGAAGCAATGTACCTACTCGCAGCAGACAAACCTTTTACTACCCCACTTTAACTGAAGAGACTCCTGCTCCCTGCAGGTCAGCACAGCCTCAGCTCCACTTCGGATACCAAGGGATGGGCAAGAGGACTTGTCTTTGAGAAAAACACCATCACCAGAGACAGACTCACAACAGTTAATGCTGACCATTAGCAGCAGGTGAAGTACTACAGGGAGGGGAATTTGCACCCAGTTTGTCAGTTTGTTACACGAAGTTCAGAAAAGTGACTTTTAGCTAACTGGGAGGCTCCGCTCCCGCCTGGCTCTTCCCAACAGCTATGGTGTGTGCTTCAGCGCTGGGAAGGAGAACAGAAAGGTTCGTTTTCTCTTGCCTTATCTTGTTTAGACAGAAGACTGTCTTTCTCTAAGTCATTTCAGAGCACCTCGCTGCTTAAGACTGAAGCTGCCTTCGATACTGACCACGGCACCGGGGTTGGCCGAGAAGCCGCAGTCAGGCTGAGCTGTGCTTTGGTTAGCCAAAAAACATTAGGGACAGATCTGTCACTAAATTCAACTCCCTAAGCCTTCAGGTACTTTAAAAACCAGCATGAAGAGTATGCAACACGCAACTTGCTTTTGCATTTCAAAGCACTGCATCAAATTAATTACATTTTCTAGAGTCAATTGAAGAAGCCAGGCAAGGAACAATATCTGAAATAGAAGAATTTTATGTAGACCATTCAGTGTTAAAAACCAGAGAATCAAACATCAGTTCAAATTAAAGAGCAGTTTCAAACCGAAGACATTTGATTAAAAGTTTCTTTTAACATTTAGAAATTTAAATACATTTACCTAAAGATGGTTAATCCCCATCTCTATGTTACTATACAATAGCTTAAAGCTACTTTTAAATGCTAGTTCTATGTTAATGTGAAATTCCAGAACCGCATTCTTATTTTTATGTAAATCGGTTATTAAATCGGGTGACTCCGTACTTCCTCGCACCTCAAAATAAACTTTAAAAATTGAAGCTTTACAATGTCTTGAATAATATTTTTCAAAGAAGTAATTTGGAATAGTTTCCGACAGTTCCGTAGGAGGTATTTTGTACAGCTTGGAGAGCAACTCCGTATAAAGTTCTATTGCAACTGAGCATTCACAGTCTGCCACAGTCCAGACATATTACTACATATACATATCAGGTTTGTAAACATTGGAAGAACACACAGAACATAGTACCACGATCCTCTGGTACTGCCAAAAGGAAGATGAGGTAACATTCATATAATCTCAAAGTCCACAGAGGTCCTGACTGAGTAGGTAAAACAGCTGCCAGCGCTTCTGTTTCATAGTGCGTGGTTAAGGCTTTCTACGTTACGGTCTGCTAAGGCTGGATTCGTTCGCTCTCAGTATCCCGACCGCGTCTTTAACAGCGTGGTAGATGACATTCTTCACCTAGGAGGAAAAGACGAGGCGTTCAGTTCCACAACTAAACAGCACAGTTCGGGTCAGGTTGGAAGCCTCTGGCAGACAGAAAAGTACTTGCACAGCTTTCCCGCTCCGCCCCGCGTGCCTCTCCTTGCAGTTTTAACATGCTCATCAGCACGAGCTTCGCTTACATCACCAACGGGGGAAAATTAGGTCCAGATTCTAACAGGATAGCAACGGAAACCCTGCAGCCTGAGGACAGTATTACTGCAAGCTCAGCCGGAGGGAAAACACGTGGAAAAAAGAAACATTTCAAAAGAATCTCCGGAGAAGCTTCAGAAGGCTTCCTCAAAACTGCTAAAAGCGCCGTAACGCTTCAGAAACCTATGGAAATTCCTCTTCAGGAGCCAGCGCATTACAGCTGACCTGAAGACGAAAGCAGCTCGGGTTGTGGGGACACACCCCTCCTGGGCTTGGTGGCTTTTTCTGCAAGGGTTAAGAGGGGCAGGGTTCATCTCGAGCACTGGGAAGTTACCTGCAATTTATCTTCATGGTTCGTATGCGTATGCGACAGATATCTAAATTCCTGAGTGAGCCAGAAGCAATGTTTGACATGCTCTGGGGATACAAAGTCTTCTGCAACTTTAATACAACTGTACAAATTGTGAACCTAGAGAGAACAAAGAAGCATTAGCCATGTGCTCAGACATCTGCCTGAGGGGTCAGGCTCTAACAGCGTCCCCGGTCCTTGCCTGGTGCGGAGCTCCTGCTGGAATGAAAACTACGTCTCCTAGAAACTGTACAATAGCCCAGCCTTGAACTCCGTACTCCTGATGAAGGCGTTTTCTGAGCGGTCGGTCCAAGTACCAGCTCTGATCGTGAATGGGATCATGATCCACAGGGTTTTCTTGGCCTTGTTCTTCCGCCACCTGGAAAGCCACAAGAGGGCAGGGGTTACCACACACCAGTCTCACCGGTACAGGGTGCATCTGTGGCTCTCTGTCCGCACGCCTGCCCCCCCAGAGTGCCTCGCACCGTCTGTCCAGGTTTAAGAGTTACACAGCAAAAGGCCTGGATTCTTCCTCAGCCCTCAGTTCCTCAAGGCTTCTTCATTTCTCAGTCCCTCCTGCGTCACAG